TAGATCTGGGCATGGACGTTCGCTTTGCTTTAACAATGTCACTTGTATTTCGAACAGTGGAGATTACCTGAGTACCAGATGGGCCTGCTTCCATGGTCATTATTATTTAATTACAAATAAAATTAATCGGAGTATCCACAATCCACTAGTTAACCAAGTACCGAACTCGTTAACGACAACGACTGAAATTTAAAATTTATGCACACTGCAAAATGCAAAACGCACGTGCATGTTTACCAGTTTACCTATGATGTGGACTGAGCGAAGGAGAACCAATCAGATACGAGCTGCGGCCGGCCTCAAAACTATCTGTCCTTGAGCATTTGATTCCCATAGTAAGCAGTAGCGGTAATACTATGCGTTGTAAAAACGTCCAGCCTCCTAGTCCCACATTTTAATCAACGCGTGAGGCCGGCCTAAACGCATGACAATACATGATTGGTTAGAATAACCCTGCGCCTTTATTTTGTGGTTGGCATAGAAAGTTCAATTGTCGCGCTAATTTTAAATTACCCCGGACATACAAAAAAATAGTATGGAAGAAAAATATTTTTTATTATTATGTATGGTGAGGCCCTGCCTCACCTGCCTCACCTGACAAGCCGCCACTGGGTAATAGAATTGCTAATATTGAAGAGTGTCGAAGCTCGTCCAGGCACTAGCACGTATCACTGTCTAGTGTGATGTTTCGGAGAGTAGTATTTGGAGGATACTCAGAGAACAAATGTACCCCTTTCAGGACCAGAAAGTTCAGTTATTGAAACTAACAGACTTACCACGTAAGCAAGACTTTTGTGAGTGGGTTAATAGAAAAATAAACGAACAAGCAAATTTTGTATCTCTTATACCATCAACTGATGAGGTCGGTTACACGAGGGAAGGTGTTCAACACCCACATTTGGGCCGCTGAAATTCCGTACGCCATTAGGGAGCAGGATTTTCAATTTCTCTCTAAATGTTTGTTACATTGACAAGATTAGGAAAATACGTATCCTAGTAACTGTTTTTGACCATAAATTATTAATTATAATAATTAGAGAGCGGAAAATATGCAACAAAATTTTAGGAAATATGATCATATGATATGCACCAAATTGATGCAAATATGCAGTAACTTTCTTAATATATGCAGAGATATGCAGTTGCATATGCTCCAAAAACTAAAAAAAAGCTTAATAAGCGAACTAAATTTATTTACAAATTACAAAAACAGATTTACCGAGCTTACGTTTTATTACAAAAAATACATAAATCACATTGCAAAGTGTTTAATTACATCTCACTAACACATAAATCACATTTTTAATGATAATATTCTTATACTAAAAAATAAATATAAACAGAAAAATTAAAAAAGAGTAGTAATCCACTAATTTAATTACTATTTTGGCAACAATTTATTTTTAAATATTTTTCGAAATATTGTAACAAAAAAATTTTCCGGTGATTCTAAAGTACGAGTATGTATTTGTAAATAGAAAAACTGCGTACTTCGTCCACAGATGTAAAAATACTTACCGGTTTAGAGCAGGGGCGACAAAACACAGTTCCTTCTTGAAGAATAAGTTCAGGAAAAGGTTTGAACCATAAATTAATTTGAGTTATCTTCGACATATTGACACACCTGTATCGCTTTCAATGCAAACTCACGATGAAAAATAATAGGATAACGTCCCTTCAACCGCCACAAAACATACCATAAATACACTGAAGTAAAGAACAAAAATATTGGGAATGAACGTATTTCCAAAAGTAATTAGGGCGCGAATTTACCTGGAAGGATGGCTTAACACCCAGTGGTTCCTCCAAACTACCATAAAACCCAAACCTTTCATAGTTATTTGAAGCTCAGGACGATATTTGCAATATGACTCGTCTTTCTAGATAAATGCCGATCGAATGGCAATCTTTTTTTTTTTCAAATTAGCACAAAAATTGATAAAAATGCAAAATATGCACCCATTACGTGAAATATGCAGCAGAATGCAAATATATGCAAATATGCAATTTTTTTATTGCTGTATTCATTTTTAATTAGCATGATTTGTTGACATATTAAATATCAAGACTTATATGCAAAAAATTACGGATATGCAAATTTCATAAAATCCGCTCTCTAATAATAATTATTAGTGTCCATGGGTGACTGAGGATCCATGGGCGGGTAACCTTAATTGGGATATAACTTCAACAATTTTTAACTTGATAATTAAAAAGTTCTTGACAAAACTCTACTAAAAAAAGTTGTTGAGTTCAATGAGCTCTATAACTGATTAAAATTAATGTACTTATTTCTGAGACACCCTGTATATTTATATACTTTTCTCATCTCTTGGTAAACAAAATAATCTTATACCCTTTGTAGTATTGTTTTTAATTCTCTATATACAACAACCGGACATTTTTATAGAGCAGATAACCAATTTTTAATGAGATTTGTTCACGAAACCACCTAACAATTAATTAACTGCGTCAAATTCGTCGACAGTACGTGACATTTAACAGATCAGCTGACATATCGCCGCCTTTGTTGGGCAAAAACCATACATCTCTTTTCAATACATTGGCGCACTGCATTGCGGTACTTTATATATGTAGGGGCTTCACCTAAAATCTGCCTGACGCGCCGGGATAGACGAATACGGGACATTATGGGTCATAAAAACATCCTAAGCCGATATTGAAGAATATTGCTAATTTATGACAACAGACCTTCATCACAAAACAATCATTTCTCTTATTCTTTCGAAATATTAATTTTAATGCTCGAGATAATTATTATACTCAAACACAATTTAGACACAGTAGGCCAAACAGGACTTATTAAGCCCGTCTATTAATTTATTTTCCTAAATGTATTATTAATGCTGTTTTCTTGTTATTTAAATAAGAAGGATTTGATAGGATCGGTAAAACACAGAATGAAATCGTATTAGGGTTTTGAATTTTGATGAATAATTTTAAGCTTTGGTGGATATAAATAATAACTTTGCGGGTTATGATTTCAAAATGTTGTGCAAATTGACAGTTGTTGCACCGTCACGGCTTACACTCTACGTAATTAGTTGTAGAATTCTGTAAAAGTTCTATGCTATTGGCAACACTAACGTTTGTTTGTAGTGGAATATCAAATATTTTCCGTCGACCTCTACGAAAAATGGCATTTTTAGACGACTTGTCTTGAAAGTGACACATATCACTATTGTAGCCTACTTTAGAAAGGTGAAAATTGCAGAGACCGATGCGGATATGAAATTTATCATGCACGGTGCATGATAAGAGTTAGTAGGGTTATGTTTCCAAAGTTCATCAAGACAATTCAGTTTTATTGAAATTTTAATATCGTCAAACAATAATCAATTACAAATTTATTGCCTTTCGTTAAGTAAATTGAAGGTTACATTACTGAAAGAACAGTTATTGAAATTTATTAATTTCTTGTTGGACTTTTCAAAATCATCCGGTAAACCTGTCACGGTTGTTGAGGATGTTGTAAAAATTGAGGTGGACGCCAACATTTGACTATCGGAATCATCTTGTGGGCGATTTTCAGACGAATTTCTTATGGCTGTAATGATTTTGTCAGCCACTTTCATTTTGCGTCCAATGGACTCTTGTATGTAACCTTCCACAACAGAAGTAAAAACCCATCCTCCGTGACGCTTAAGATCTTCCATACTGCCACCTCCATCCATAAAAATTGTAGACGATGATCGCCTCAGACAGTGGCCTGTGAAAGCTGCAGGCTCTTCTAAACCCAAATAAGCAGCAATTAATTTGGGTATACCACTAATTTTGTTAATTCCCACGGGTTGTTTAGTGCATTTGGAATTCTGATAGTTTAAAAACAGCCGACGTTCAGTCATGGTTGGTCAAAGAACAGCATATTTACGGTAGATTTCATAAAATTCGTCAATTATTGTAAAAATACGCTCCTTCTTGTTTTTTGTGATTGGTAATTTTACAATAAATGCTGATTCTACATCCTTTACATCATCAACTGTGAGTTGAACTAGTTCTTGTCGCGCAACTTTGTAAGATTTATGTTTTGGCGGAGGTTTTTAAGGATTAGACTTGTTTTCAGTTTTATGAATCAACTTATAATCTATCAGAAGTGACTTTTTTTTGCACACTGTTTGGAATAACTGTAGCCTCTATATTGTCTTCAGTCAAATCTACCTGAAGACGAAAGTTACTTTTACCATAGACGATGTTTGTCGATTCTCATACCAACGTATAGTGTACACTGTACACTGTACAAACATGGTTGAATATCAGTTTCAAGTTTAATACCAAATTATAGCGTATAAAAGTGTTTAGGAAAGCGATGCTCGTACTCACTTCCCGTTTACCACACAGTCTGTAAAGTGGAACTCATTTGTACTTTGTGTATTTCCTGATAGCCGTACTTGACTGGTTGATGTTCTTTTACAGTCGACGGCTATGTGTCTCAAAAGTTTACTGAAGTGAGATTTAGCACCGTAGGGCAAGCCCTTATTTCTTTTTTAAAGTTTGATATCATAAGTAGAATGGAATGAACTCTCAAATAAGGGTCAATCGACCCTCCTTGCCGTTTATTTTTTTTATCAAAATGTCATAGTTTCGACATTTCAAGGTCGCAATACGTCAGTCACTATGGAAAATATCAGTATGATTTACTTCATTACTCATCGATACGTAAATTTCAAAGCTGTAGATGTACCTCCTGCGATTCCAAAATTATAATGGCGAAGAGGGGATAACTTTTATGTTATATTGTGTAGAATGATTACACAAAAATCTCATATCAATCTCTGTTATTACTACTATTACAAAAAATATTCTTTTTAAAGTTACGTATGCAAGAACAAGCCGAATGTATCGAACGAGACGAAATTCTGTTTGGTAAGGGATGTTTCATTCTGATCTGGCACATTTAATGGTATGAGAGCTTCGATTGGTACATTCGTTTCGTTCGTGCCCAAGTAAATACGTGCCGTAAGAATTTCTGTCAATTTTAGGGGTGAATCTTCGGACCGGAAGAATGGGAATATTTCCATCTGCTTATGCTGTTGACTGTGATTATACTGATTGGGATTCCTCATGTGAACATGGTCGAAGAGAACGTTATTTATTAGGTTATTTGGGATCTGTAGAAACGTTAGCACATAAAGGAACGTCTGTTGTTTGTCAAGCAGTAAGAAGAGTTATCGGTAGTTCTGGTAACGATCCCGAATCTCAACCTTGTATTCTTGAAGTTTCCGACCAGGGCCTGAGAATGGTAGATCGAAGAAAACGAAACGTTAGTAACATTTTTAAATTATTTAATTTATTTTTTCTAATAACCATATTCTACTGTTAATCTGAAAGTTGTTAAAATCACATTCTAAACCACATTCTCCAAAAAGACTTGCATCCCAAACATAATGATTTTTATTAAAACTTGAAATGTGTTATAATAGCCGTTTCGCGAATTTGTATGAAAAGTATAGGAAAGTGTTAACGTGTGCAATGAGTAACACAAGTGTAAAAACTATTTATTATAAAAAGTATTAAAAACTCAGTAATAGGTATACATATTGTGTAGTTGTAGTTAATTCTCATCTATGGTAATTAAATTTTAAAAACGAGAGGTATTACTGTATATGAGCAACATCAGAAAAGAGTTTGAAACCTAATATTGGAAGTAGATACGTCTAAAACTAAACACAAATTCTCTCTAGACAGAATTTGATTTCTACCGTTTTACAGTAGTTTGAGCGTGAATACCTTTTGAACATATTTTAATATAGATTTTTTTCACTACTTCTTTTTTAAGTACTTAAAGAGTTCGTTAAGTTTATTGATTAAATGAATTTGTTTTTAAAAAGAAGAAGAATAGATTTTTAGTCGCAACTCTTATTCTAACACTGATTCATTATGGTTAGAGTATTGATTACACTATGCAACAAATTTAAAAAAAATAAAATTCACAGAATGCACAGTATGTAGTTAAAATTTCTTACCTCAAACTCAATTGAGGATTATGCTTGAAAGAATCATATCACATCAGGTTTCAAAATGAAAAGTGTTTATTGAATTTTTTGAAATCATACAAAATTAATAAAATAAAATTTAATTTTTCATTGAAAAAGGTCTTTTTTTTCGAACGATTGGCATTCCTATTGTAGCCAGATCTCGCAGTATCCCTCTGAAGATACCAACATAAGTTTGCAAGCATGGGTGGATACATAAAAGCTATATTTTTACGATTAACTGCAATCAAGTGTCCCAAAAAGTAAGAAAAATAAAACACCCGTTATCTATGTTTTGTGATGTGATATGGGTATAAAACATTTTTTTCTTTAGTATATGGAGTATAGGTACCCAACTTATCACATCAGGTTTCAAAATGAAAAGTGTTTATTGAATTTTTTGAAATCATACAAAATTAATAAAACAAAACTTCATTTTTCATTGAAAAGGTCTTTTTTTTTTCGAACGATTGGCATTCCTATTGTAGCCAGATCTCGCAGTATCCCTCTGAAGACACCAACAGAAGTCTGCAAGCATGGGTGGATACATAAAAGCGATATTTTTACGATTAAATGCAATCAAGTGTTCCAAAAAGGAAGAAAAACAAAACACCCGTTATCTATGTTTTGTGATGTGATATGAGTATAAAACATTTTTTTCTTTAGTATATGGAGTATACCCAACCTCAAACACTATCTGAACTTTCTGTGAATTTTTTAGTGTTGCATAGTGTTATTAGTGATTATTCACATGTATCACTTAATTCTAATTCACAGTTATTCACTTAAATAATTACAACTTGTTAGGAGAGCGCGATTATGACGGACTTAAATGATTTTCACGGCGGCGGCATCTGAACTGAAAAATGAATTATTTAGATTCCTTATATAAGAAGGAAAACTGTAGAATTGGAGTTCTCATGTTGATATTGATGCAAGTGTGGAAGCGCATCTTGGACGTGGCAGGACATATCCAGACCCATAGGTCTGCAAAACGATTGTCCATTGTGGACTTATGTTGATATCATAACACCACCCTCATTAGATTGAAATTTGGGGGAGCTTGCGATGCCGAATTTTCAAAAGTTTTTCGGTGGTGGATCGGAACGATATCTATGAACTCGGGGTCTGATACACTTGGGCCAAATAAAAAACATTACTGTAATATACTCGTAATTAAAAAGATATAGATTAAAAGTTTCCAAACATTAGTGAAGGATTTGACGTATCCACGGTCCTCTTTTTGAGATCCTGTTGTATCTCGTGCATCCTGTGGTAAATTAGGTCGATGTCTGCTAAGTCGACTGTTTCGAGTTGTAGCGGTTCTTGTGTCCAGATTTCTTCTTCGAGTGGTGGATTTGATCAAATTTCTAATTTTGATGTTTGGATCGTCTGCTTCTTGAAATCAGGATTCTGGTAGCTCTGAATGGTCGTTGAGTTGATTCTTAATTTACATCCATCTGGGACAGTGATAACATAACTTCCTTTTACTGATAGGTGTTCTTCCTGTTAGCTGCATGTTGGAAGTGGCTTGTTGCTCGATTGGGAATATTACAATTTATTGGTTCTTGTCGATTTTTCTGATTTTCATGTTTTTGAGGTTGACTCTGATGATATTACACTGTTGGTAATTCTTCGAAAATTTAAGTCCCTAGAAGGTGCTTCATTGGAAATTTTGCTGGTCTGTGGAAAATTGCAGATATAGTCTCCAGGGTTGAGTTCATTATATTTATCATCGTTCAAACTCGTTAAGAGGTGTCTCAAAAATTAACGTGATATGCAGCTACCTTTCTGATAGGCTTTAATTTGAATTATTTGTGCTTAGGCTAGAAGATTTGCTTCGTTAGCTTCGTAGGTGAGACTTTTATCGTCGAGTTTGTTCTCTATTTTTAGTTCGTTTAGCAGGTCTTTTGGGTCGATTATTGAATTGTGTAGTGTTCAATTTTGCGCAGCTGATTGCTGTTTCAAGTTCTTCTAATATTCTTAATATTTCGTACGACATGGTGATCATTTGGAGGAAAATTGTGTGCAGATGTAAAAGTGGATAAATTTAGACGCTCGTGGAAATAGTCCGATTGATGATTGCTGTTTCAAGTTTTTCTAATATTGGTTTCGATTTTGGGGATCTTCTTTTTGAATACTTATTGGATCAATCGTTAATTTGGCGATGGCTTTGTTGAATTTTTCTATTGCCGTGGCATTTAAGGAGAATTTTGTGGTTGTCTTTCTGAGTTTGAATTCGGGATATTAAAGCTTCATAGCGTTGTCCGTCTCCGCTATCTAAATTTGCAGTGATTGCTTTTACTGGTGGGTAGCCCCAAAATTGATTAGTTGTTAGTTGTCTTCTCAGTCTTCAATAATTTTTTTGTAGATTAGTTTCATTCGATTTTTGTAGTGATATTGTATCTGATGAATTACTTGATGATAGGTTTCCTGCTAAATTGCCTGTTGGTGAATGTCTTGGCGAATTGCTTGGCGTTGGCATTCTAAACATTGATAATGAGAATTTTTCACGGGTTGTTGGTGAGAGGTCTATTAAATTTGAAATTGGAGGTGCGGTGTTGTTGCTGATTGTTGGTTCTAGGATCCTTAATTCTGTGATTTGGTTTTCATTTTTCTGGATTAGCTCGTTTAGTAATCGTTCTAGTTCATCGTATGGTTGAAATGCTGCTGATCGTGCCTTAATGTCCAGAGGGAAGATTTGTATTCTTCAGCGTTTGCATTAATTTTTTTTTTCTTGTAGAGAATGTCGTAGTCGTGTTCATCTAGTTTTAATCTCCAGCGTACTAATTTTGATTTGGGTTTTTTGAGTGAGATTTGAAGTGGGCGATGATCTGTATAAATGGTGAATTTTCGTCCGTAGAAATAGGTCTGAAATATTTCGTTGCGCATACTATTGCTAATAGTTCTTTTTCAATCGTTGAGTACTTTTGTTCAGTTTCATTTAGTGTTCTTGATGCGTAAGCAATTGGTTTATCCTTCCCTAGTAGTCCTTGTGATAAGACTGCTCCTAAGGCGACATTTGATGCATCTAATGTTAAAACGAATGGTTTTGAAAAATCCAGGTATTGTAAAAATCGATTATTGATCAAAATTTTCTTGCAGGGTTCGAAGGTAGTTATAAATTGTGGGTTATGCGTGATCTTGGCATTTTTCTTCAAGCATTTTGTTGAAGGTTTTTTGAGTCGTGCAAATTTTGGGATGACTTTTTGTACTAACCGAGCAAAAAAAATCTTCTAAAAATCCTTTGATTTCTTTCTGGGTTTTCGGCCACGGGTAGTTCATGATTGCTGTTATTTTGTCTGGATTTGGTTTCACTCCTTCGTGTGTGATGGCATGTCCTAAAGATGCTATTTTTTTCTAAGAATTCATTTTTGTCCAGATGTATTTTGAAATTGGCCTTTCTTCAGGGACGGCTGGTCAGGGGCGGCAGGGTCGGCCACGCCGTACCAGTCATTTTAAAATACTTAGTAAGCCTTGAAATTAGAAAATAAAAAAAGAAATAAAGTGTGAATGTACGTTTAGTTTAGAACATGTATATTACAAAATATATTTTATTATACATATGTATTATAGGTACATAATAAAGTTTTTGTTGCTAATTTTAAATGCTGATAAAGTGATAAACACGCTTCGCCGGCAAGATTTCAGCACGCCGTATCCAATAATGCATAATGCTCTATGTTTCTACTTTGTACCCGTTTACGGTTTCATCGTTCTCTTTGTCTACTACACTGTTTACGAGCGGAACGTATGTTGCGCCAGGTCCGGCGATATCCTCGTTCGCCGTACCCAGAAATGCGAATTTAGTTTTTAAAACGCTTAATATTTAAGATAGCTAACAAAATTACAAAACAATAACGGCTTCGATGTTCTTCAGTGCCTACAATTTTTTTTTATAGAAATTGTTGATTTAATACATCTTCCTGTATATGATTAAGTAATAAACGAAAAAAATTACATTAAATTATCTAAAATTTTATTGTTCGTACATAGCTTTGCTACAACATAAATGCGGTCTAGGACAATTCGGCGCGGCCGACTTGGCGCGGCCAACTTGGCGCGGCCAACTTGGCGCGGCCGACTTGGCGCGAGACATTTTGGCGCAAAGCCAACTTGGCGCAGGGACACTTTGGCGCAAGCCATCTTGGCGTGGACCATCTTGGCGCGAATGAACTCGCACCAAGAAAAATGGATATAATTATACAAAAATTGTACCCATTGTTAGCATAACCTAATTTTTTAGGGTCTCCAATGCGTGGAGGGGTAATGGCGACTTTTTAATGGACACACGGGCGCTTCGCGCCCTGCACCCCATTATAAACATACTCCTAAACGTGGAACTTCTTGCTCCGTGGATCATTTAGTTATTGGAATTTGTGCGAATGAAACTGTGTATTTGGTTGCCTACACTTAGCATAAATAACAGGGTGCAAACCACGATACAAAAAATAAATATTTTTTATATTATATACCGACGTACTCGCGCCAAGATTGCTTGCGCCAAAGTGTCCCTGCGCCAAGTTGGCCTTGCGCCAAAATGGCTCGCGCCAAGTCGGCCGCGCCAAGTTGGCCGCGCCAAGTCGGCCGCGCCAAATAGTCCCATTCCGACATAAATGGGCTTTTTCTGTATTTTTAGCATCTAAGCGTTTTCAGATATTTCAGAAATGAATTTAATGTTTTAAATCATTTTAATTTTAATTCGATAATTATTCAATTAATCTATTTGACAATTTGCCATATACATTTACAAAAAATTAAATATAAATTAAAGTAGTTAACAGTTGGTACTTTTATTATTACTTTTTTTTAATGTTTTTTAACTGCATCTCACTAAAAATGATAAAGATATTTTTATTTCTCTTTATGGTGAAAATTAACAATTTTTTTGTCAATAAACTTTTTTCAGTGCTTATTTTTGTTTTTTTCTTCGATTTTTTAAAACAGGCCATATTGGGTATCTATGTACGTACAATTTGGCCTAAAGACACACTTTAATTAAACCGGGTACTGTCGAGCTCTACAATCTTGAAAATGTCTGAAATTTGAAAATTATATACAAAAATGTAGCCTCTTTCAACTTCCACCATCACTCTTCCATTTCAAGATCTTACAACAATTAAAAAAATTCTCAAAGCTTAGGTAGGCCATATAGGGTACAATGAACTTACATACCAATAGCTCTAATACCATTGATAATATAGGCATGATTCATTTTCAAAGTTGTAGTAATTGTTCTTTTAATTCGTTTTTTGTACGATAACAGATATTTATTTTATTAGGAGTTTAAGTGATACTTTATGTGACGAGTATGGACGATTAAACGCCGAGCGATAGCGAGGCGAATTAAGTCCATACGAGTCACATGAAGTCACTTAAACTCCGAATGAAATACAATATTTTATTTTCAAACGATTAATCTTCTTTTGAGATGATTATTTCCTATCTTCTTGCTTCATTAAGGAATTGCCTTGATTTCACTTACCATGGTTACTATGGTTGACAACCACTATGATTTTCACATATTTATACTCCGGCGGAACATAAATCATGAAACACATATTTCAGAGTTTTTCGTGATTCAACCCCTAAGAAGATGAAAGGGGGTGACAAAGTTTGTATGAAGAAAATATTAGATAATATGTTTATGGCTGTTTACTTGAAATTTGGTAATAATCTAATAATGTTCTTCAACAAAACAAATTGTCTACGCGGGCGAAAAACTAGTTAAACATATGCGTTTTTCGTTATGTTTTCTTCTTTCAAGAAAACAACACCAACTTGAGGGTTTTTTCAGATGAACACCCATTATATTCTAATGTTACCACAGACATCGTTTAAACAGAACTATCATTTCGTATAAATTTTAACAGGAAGGAAAAACGACTTTTTGTGGTTAAAAAAGAACTGTTAGTTATAAGGTAACTGCACCCTATATGGCCTACCTAAGCTTCGAGAATTTTTTTAATTTTTGTAAGAACTTGAAATGGAAGAGTAATGGTGGGAGTTGAAAGAGGTTACATTTTTGTACATAATTTTCAAATTTCAGACATTTTCAAAATTGTAGAGCCCAACAGTACCCGGTTTAAATGAAGTGTGTCTTTAGGCCAAATTGAGTACATAGATACCCAATATGGCCTGTTTTAAAAAATGTAAAAAAAGAAACAAAAATAAGCCGGAAAAAATTTATTTACAAACAAATTGTTAATTTTCATATTAGGGAGAAATAAAAATATCTTTGCCATTTTTAGTGAGATGCACGCACTCCTCGTTCACGTATTTCTTACATACGGAGCATATTCTCAAATCTTTTACAATATTTTCTTGGTACATCTCGCAAAAACAATTTTCTTGCTTCTTCCGTGAGCTTACTTTTTGTTTATAGTAATTTAAATCAGCTTATTCATAAAAAAAAATCAAACGAGAACTGCAGTATGTACCCAACAGGCCAACAGCTCCCCTAGGCCATATTGATTCCACATGACAAGCGAACATGTTATCAGTAATTCCGACTGAAAAGACGTTAAGAAAGTACAACTAATGCAGATCATTTAAAAGCGGAAAAAAGGAGCTAGACAACTATAGAAATATGAAATTGATAACTTAATTGAGATTAAAATTATCCAGAGAAAACTTAGCGGCATAAAATAGAACGCATACTGACTCGTCATATCACCGTCACAAATAATTCCATTGTAAGTAAACGAAACGGTGTATTACTTTACTGATTTCTCCTAACTGGTATAAAAACGTTCCAGAATGTATCCCAGAGGCGATCTACCACATTTTGTTTGAAACGTATGAGAAAAAGCCAATAGGCCATATTGAGTTCAGTTACCTTACATATATTGACAATGGAAATATGTGAAAATACATAAGCGTGACGTTAAGAAATAAGTTCTCACCATAGCTGAATAAAATAAAATAATAATAATAAGAAAAAGAAATAAATCCTAAGTCATAAAAATACAGTAGAATATGCGATTTTTTAAATTCTCATCTTCTGCGTCATAATAAGAAAGAAAACAGTGTCCGCGGTCTTTTTCGAGAAGTAAGTTGAACAATTTTGATCATTCGGTTACAATACTCCTGCATACGAGACAGATGTTTTGGAAATACTGGCAAATTATAAATAATCTATTGACAATGAATATCTATCTCTCTATTCTCTGCAAACTTACTGCAAGCATATCACTGATGTGTATACTAGCAAATTTTGTCAAATCCTGAGGAACCTACGAGTATGTTGTTACTGTAGTTAGATACGTGAGAAAATATTGACTTGGAAGCGCCCCTCCAATTATCTCTCCTGTAAAGAAAAATTTTGTACATTGCAATATAAGTGCATTGTGCAATATTAATGCTTGTAATTGATCTTAGTCAGCTGATACACTTATTTTATTTGCAGCAAAATGAACCATGCATAGATTATTTCTACTCCCTGAAAAATGTATCATTTTGTGCTTTTCATCCTCGAGATCATCGCTATTTAGGATTCATAACCAAACATCCAACTCTTCAACGATTTGCATGTCATGTTTTCCGTGGGACGGATTCAACTAGACCTGTGGCTGAGGCAGTGGGGTAATATAACAAATATATTTATTTTGTAAATATTAATATATTTTTATGTCTAGTCGTGCCTTTCAAAGGTTCTATCAGAAATTTATTGAAACTGCTTATCCTGTTGAAGACATCTACATTGAGTAATTTGTGTAGTGCAATAATAATGTAAATAATATCTATTGCATTGAAGCTGTCAACAATAAAATACAAAATTTTATATTGTTTTATTTATTTCATGATTGTAAACACAGGTGAGTCATGTCTTAAAGATCTAGCAATTTAACCTTCGATGATACTCATTATTGGAATAGTGAGTGATAGAGTCGTCGATGTGGAGGTTCTACAATTAGTGCCATGCATATGGTTCGATGCCACGCGAATGTTCGTATCGTGATGCAGGTTTACTAATATTTTTGTGAGTTTATCAGCTCAGTTAAATCTTGCGGGCTGCTGAGTTCCCCAATAGGTTTGGCAGTCTACCAGGGAGACAAATTTTCTAATTTCCTATCGCCAAGTTTGTAAGATGTTTCCGTCAAATTATCAAATTCTTAATCTCCTTCGGCCACTTCGGCTGGTTTTTTCTATTAAAAAAGCTAACATCTTGTTTTTTTTTAATTCTTCGGCAATATCATGCTTTCCTTTTACGGAAAGTACTGCCATCAAAAGCAGTCGGCAGGTTTCATTGTGCTACAAATGTGGCAGGCGGTATCACGTTAAATGTAATGACGTTCCTGAAAGTCTACATGAATATCTTCAATCAGTTCGTGGTCTTGACTGGAAATATCCTGAATTTGTCAAAAAATGTTTGTGCCCTTCTTCGGATACGCTAAACTATTTTCTCAAAAGAGTTGTAAGCTCAAAAAACAGAGATAAGTGTACTTGTCGATTGTTCTTAGTTTGAGCAAAACTTCTGTTTTAAAGCAGATCGTATAATCTTTCTCGGGGTTTTAAATATTGACTTACTGAGCAATGACGGCAAGCCGTTACTTCCGATGTTGCAGAGCCTCGGTTTTATGCAAATCATTACAGAACCCACTAGAATAACTAGTCACTCGGCAATGCTTTTAGATGTGATATGTGTTACAAAAGATGTTGAAATACTTGAATCTGGAGTACAAGATATGGAAAACATCTCGGACCACAGACTGGTACACTGTAAGCTAAATGTTGAGGTCTACAAGCGACCACCAACTACTTTTTATGTGAGAGACTACAATATGTTCATGGCGAATGAATTTCAGTTTGATGCAAATAGTGTAAACTGGATGAACGTAGATATCCTAGACAATATAAAAGATAAAATAAAATTCCTTAATGATGCCATTACAATTCTATTCGATATTCATGCTCCTCTAAAGCTTGTTAAACCCAAAATTCGTAAATATCGTCCCTACATAACAGAAGCCATAAAGGACATGATAAAACTCAAAAGAAAAGCTTACCAAAACTATAAAGCTTCTGGATTAGAAAACCACAGATCTTATTGTAAAGAATTATGCAACATTATTAACGAAGCAATCAAGAGAGAATAAATAGCTTATATGAAACTTCGTATAAAAGCCACAAATAAACGCCCACAAGAATTATGGCAAGTACTAAATAAGTTCAACGTACATAAAAAGAAACCAAAGACGATACATGATAGCATAACACCTGAGCAATTTAATCCATAACTTGTTGAGCAAACTAATAATCAGATCATAGACAACGGATGTCATTTCATTTTTTCAAAGGAATAGACGTCCAGGTGTTACAACAGATTTTAATCTGGAACCAACTACTGAAAATGAGGTAGAAAATATTATAAGTAATATTCGATCTAATGCAGCTGGTGTAGATAACATAAATTTAAAAATGCTCAAAATTGTACTACCCTACTGTAAAACAGCTTTAGTACACATTATCAACCATTCTTTTATAACAGGTACGTTCCCTGATCAGTGGAAATTATCTACGGTTATTCCTCTTCCCAAAAAACCAAATGCATCTTCACTAGTAGATCTTCGTCCTATTAGTATCCTCCCAATTTTGTCTAAAGTTATAGAAACCATAGTCAAGCGTCGACTTACTGATTATACAGGGTGTCTCAGAAATAAGTACATTAATTTTAACCAGTAACAGAACTCGTGAAACGGAACAACTTTTTTATCTAGCATTTTTTCGAAAACTCAAGTCGAATTTCAAATTTTCCCACCCATATATTCACGAGCCGTCTATGTTCACCTTAAATAATAAATTAAATAATAACAACACTACAACAATGAAGAAGGTACCCTAGCAACCGTTTTGACACTGACAATAATTTTTATGTGAATGTTTTTATTAAACGTTGTCTCTTTAAAGTTTGTTTGGCACAGATTTCTAATTTATAGACGAAATATCTTGAAATGGCTTTGTTTTCAAATCTGGAATGCACCGATATCGTTTTAACGTACGGTGAAGCTCGGGGAAACGGCACTCGCGCCCAACGAATTTTTTCAGAAAACCTCCCAAATCGTCGTCTGCCAAATGTGCGCAGTTTTAAGTTGCAGCATTTTCGAGAGTACGGATCTTTTAAACCTGGATATCAGGATCGGGGTAAGTTACGTAGTAATAGAATTGCTAATATTGAAGAGGCTGTTTTGAAGAGTGTCGAAGCTCGACCGGACACTAGCACGTATCACTGTCTAGTGTGATGTATCGGAGAGTAGTATTTGGAGGATAGTCAGAGAACAAATGTACCCCTTTCAGGACCAGAAAGTTCAGTTATTGAAACTAACAGACTTACCACGTAGGCAAAACTTTTGTGAGTGGGTTAATAGAAAAATAAACGAACAAGCAAATTTTGTATCTCTTATACCATCAACTGATGAGGTCGGTTACACGAGGGAAGGTGTTCAACACCCACATTTGGGCCGATGAAATTCCGTACGCCATTAGGGAGCAGGATTTTTTCAATTTCTCTCTAAATGTTTGTCACATTGACAAGATTATGAAAATACGTATCCTAGTAACTGTTTTTGACCATAAATTATTAATTATAATAATTATTAGTGTCCATGGGTGACTGAGGATCCATGGGCGGGTAACCTTAATTGGCATATAACTTTAACAATTTTTAACTTGATAATTAAAAACTTCTTGACAAAACTCTACTAAAAAAAGTTGTTGAGTTCAATGAGCTCTATAACTGATTAAAATTAATGTACTTATTTCTGAGACACCCTGTATAAAAAATTATTCTATAATTCCATCCATACAATCTGATTTTCGACCTCATCATAGCACAAATATCACACTTTTAAAAATTATTACCGATTGTGTCCAAGCTATGGACACAGGTGAAGTTACAGCACTTAGATTACAGCAAGGCATTTGATAGAATTAATCATAATTTGCTTTTAGCTAAACTAAAATATTATGGATGTTCAGATCTAGCTATTCTATGGTTTCAAAACTATTTAAAGGCCAGGAAGCAAGTGGTGAAAATTGGTAATTCAGTTTCTGGAAAACGAGACATAACAGAAGGAGTACCCCAAGGAAGTGTGTTAGGTCCTACATTATTCGTTTTATTTATTGCAGATATCATCTGGTGGCGTTTACCAGGTCTAAAGTTTCATTTTTATGCTGATGATACCCAGATTTATACATCATTTAATTTGCATTCTGCTCTCTTAGGAGCTACCATGATTAATAAACAACTGATGGCGATTAGCGAATGGAACAGAGCAAATGGATTGCTGCTGAACTTACAGAAGTGTGGAGGTAGTATAATTAGGTCAACAACAAATCGAAATGCTGTTTTACCCAAAATCAAGAAATTGATCAAGATTGACGACCATATTCTAGAGTTCAACGATTCAATTAAAAGTTTAGGTGTGTACATTAATTGCGAATTAAAATTTCACAACCACGTTAATAGTGTTCTGGCTAAATGTTATGCTAAGTTTGGATATTTGTATCAATTTAAACAGTATTTGGATAGTAGTACTAAATGGAAACTGTGCAATACCCTAATGCTTACAAACTTTGATTATTGTTCTTCAGTTTATTATGCTCATTTAACTGTAGAGTACAAAAACAAAATCCAAATATTTCAAAATACATGCTTACGGTACAGTTATAATTTACCTTTACGTGAACATGTTACACCATTGTATTACAAGCTTGGTATGATTAAATATAGTGAGAGGATAATGTTAGCAATTACTAAATTAGTGTATAATGTTTACAAAATGTGTGAACCTCTGTATTTAGTAACGCCAGTGAGTATAGATGTTAACACAACTGAAAAATATCTAAAATCCGTAAATTTTATACATCCAAAGATCTGCAGACCATCTAATTGCCTTAAAAGTATCAAAAAACACATTACAATTTCGCTTGTTTTTTGACATCCGAAATAGTTATTTAAGTATATATCAAGCGCCGAAAATGAGACTTTGCATCCGAGCGTCTTTCAACTTTAAATACTGTACAATAATACTTTCCTTAGAATTAGGTATTATTTTTATTATTATCGTCATGGTTCTTGATTTAGTTTATCATTTTATTTAGTATTTGTTTAAGTTATTTCAAATTAGGTTAAGTAGGAGGGTTAAAACTTTAATTTGTTCTATTTCTTTTTTGTATTTATTTATTTATTACATTAAGCACTTGCTATGTTATAAATTACTATAGTAAGTATAAGTATAAGTATACTTTTCTGTAATTGGGTGATTTCCCGTAGCAGACCGAGGGATCACAAACAACTATTTACCTTGATCCTCAATGTAAAATCACAAATTATATCAGCTGAACATTCCAAAAAGAAATCTCTGATTCCAAACGCATTAGTGTAAAATAAAAACTTCTAAACAGAATAAACCAGAATAAACTTAGCAGCCGATGTCAGGCTCAATTTTATAAGTGCAAATACCGCATACAATATTTTGTTCACTTAATAATTAATTCCGCAATATTGGATTATTTTTTATTGACATTTTTTACTTTCGACTCTAGATCCTCAAAATGTCATTTTCGGTTAAAGGACGCAATGTCAATATACGTCGTTTTCGATTGAGGCAGCACAAAATAGTATATTATTAGCCAAGGTTGCAAAGCCAAGCATTCTAGACCGAGCGCAAATTAGAACCCAAAACGCGCAGCGTCGAGGGCTCTGAAGCGCGAGGTCTAGAAGTGGCTTTGCAACCGTGGTTAATATACTATTTTTTTCAATGGCCTGTATAGGTTGTCTAA